TGAGCCATTCACTCCCATTTCTCCAATGAAGAGGATAACAGGAAGGAAACTAAAAGCCACCTTCTTTGGAGGTCAGTTTTCCCACACAGTTTAGGTAGAAGCTTAGAGAGTACTTGACTGCTAAGAGAGCAATTAGGATTTAATTACCAAATACTTCTATTTACCCAAGACTCTTAGGTAACAATTTAAAAAAAAAAAAAAAAAAAAAGGCCACCAGCAGATGAGATTTGTCATTTAACTAGTAACACTTCCGTTCAGCAAAGCTCACTCTGTTGACCAAAACCAGGCTGTTAGAGCACATTCTAACCAGTGTTTARCGTATCGAAGGTGTTAGTATTTGCCGTCTCACCATATTAGTGCTGAGTGTGGAGTCTCTGTTTAACCTGAGCAGATGCGGAAAGTTTAGCAGCAATTATACACTTGACAGTTGTTATAGTTCAGTGAATTATCTGAACACAAGAAACATTCATCAGTCCTACCTAAATTGTGTTTTTGTGAAATACGCATGCAGCCGATAAGGCAGAAAAAGTAACAGCAAATAAAGTGTGACTGCTGGCTTGAAACTTAGAGTAATAAAGCAAATGCGTAATCTTGGATCAAGCTGATCTTTCTTGAAACTGAATAACTAAATTCAGTTTGTTTGCTCGTTAACTCTGTTTTTGTGGCCTTTGTTGCAGGTTGGAGGAGTGTGAAGAGTGTACCAGAACTGGTGTATGATTATATGGCAAAGAAATCTGATTTAGATGCCTCTAGCTCACGTATTTTGCCATTTTAGAAAATCACAGAGGCTTCTGACCTTATGATTGAAGGAAAGAGGTAAGTTATCAACAAATTAAATCTATTACTCTGTTGATGAAGCGATTTTAATTATATAAGCTGAACATTTTGTAATGCTATCCTTAGAATGTATCATTTGGAGCACATTTAAAAGGGGAAAGAATAAACAAGCATCTTCAACTGTTCCAAGAAAACCAATCTCATCCYTGACACTAATCTATATCTAAATAGGAAAATTAACACACCACCAAGGTGGCTGGGCATTTCCACAAGCTTAGGTACTCTGCACTCACTCTGCACTGAGGAAATCTAACGCGTGCCAGAATTAGTACAATTTCAAACTGAAGCACAGTTTTGAGTGCACAGGAAACAGCAAGTGAATTTGAATAAGGAATCAGCCTGCAGAAGTTAAAATGGTATCTCATACCCCAACGGACTGCAGTAATTTCCTGCAAACCTCTACCTTTCTCAAGAAATTTTATTGCTGAATTATATAACCATTATATACTCACGGGATAGAGTAATAACATTTTCAACTCCTATATTATAAAATATGTAAGAATGGAGGAGACAGAAGGGGTGGGGAGAGCAATTTAAAAGGCCACAGAATTCTCTTTCTTAGAAGCTGTTTGAAAATATTTTGTCTTCTCACATACTTTTGGGATATTCTCCTTCATTCCAACTTTATTTGTGTGAGGGTCAGTCTGCACAAAGTGCATGCGATCCCGTCTAGGAGAAGACAACTTGCCCAGATTTCTCTTCAGAGTCGTGACAATTCTAATGGTGACACTACAAATCTCTCGGGTCCAACATTTAAGCTGTGGCTTTGCCAGCCTGCCACACAGAAGTAAGGCTGCCGAGGTGATCAACAGCTCAGTGACAGGAGTGCCTGAAAGCTTTACTGCAACTGCAAAAATCTAATGGTAATGAGTGGGTATGATCTATAGCTAAGTTCGGTTATACAAATGCTTTGTGTTTGTGCATTGTTTTCTTTTTTTTTCCTTGAAAACAAACAGTTTAAAACGAACTTTAAATGGTTCATCTTCTCTTTTGAAGTAATTGAATAGTCCTAGTTTTCTAAGGATCTAGCAGAAATTTTGGAAATGTCTAACCTTATCTTTTGAAGTATCTCACTTAAGACATATTTTTGATATGCCTCTACTCAATGAAGTGGTAATTCTTGCAATATATATTTAMAGCAGTACAGCTCATGTAAATATGGAATGGTAAGTAGTCAAAGACCATGATGGACAATGGCTATGTTATTTTAAAAACATGTCATACACAAGACATGTCAGATCAGTACTTTGCAGTATTATTCYAGAATCACCTGTTTTTTGGATCCAAGTCATTCTAGGCTTTCCTATGGCCCGTGATAAAGGGATAAAGAACAAGGCTCTAAGTATTACTCTGCACTGAAATCTAAACAATAACATGGGCTCTAAGCATAACCATRGTAAAAATGCATTAGCTGCACAGCACCTTTCATCACTGTCACGGGGCTGGAAAGAGAAACCTGCCTCCAGCTTCCACGTGGGTCACTATCCTTTCCACACATGGTGCCACAATAGTAATGTCCCTCTAGCAGAATTTCCTCTATCCTTTCCCCCACCCAACTAATCACTTGTTTCG